GATTGGGAGTATACACTATATCCCCAACCCCCTATGTAACCTATAGGAGGAAATTAAGAAGACCCCCCACTGATTTGGTGTCCAGTCTTAAAGACAACGACGGAAAGCCTGAGCTACTGGGACGCAAGTAGACAGCTAATGAATTGCTATTAATTAACTGTTATAAATGTACCCCCCCCCCCACCCTTGGGGGAAGATGAAGTCAAAGTTTTTCCGCTATTTTAACCGCTATAAATGTACCCCCCCCCCCTCTTGGGGAAGCTGAAGTCAAAGATTAAGGTAAGCAAGAAGACTGCTAATGAACTGCTATTAATTAACTGCTTTAAATGTACCCCCCCCCTCTTGGGGGAAGCTGAAGTCAACATATGTACCCCCCACCCTTGGGGGAAGCTGAAGTCAAAGCTCAATTGCTTTCAGTTAAATTGCGTACCCTCTAGTTAATCCTTCTGGCGCACGACATTTTAGAATAATTGAATTCTTGGAGCGTTTCATGTGTCAAGAACTACAGAAATGCTTTAAGGAAACAATTTCACTTTTGCTCAAAAGCAATAAAGGGTATGAAATTTGATTTCTAAAATTATGTAAATACGATGATCCACATCTCCAACGAAATCAATTCTTTTATTTCTTTTTGTCAAGCCGAGTGTTGAAATCCAGTTGCATTTCAGTTTGAAAAAAAACTGTTTAACATCGTTTTATTGGTCAATATTCGTGTGACAAGTCAAAATTCTACCAGCAATAAGCATCGTTAGAAAACATCACCTAATCAAAATTGAAAACAAGATAATTATTTTAGTACTTTTCCTTCCCATTGCCTAAGAAAAATTGTTGTGAAAACACAAAAGTCTTTTTTGAATCACAATTTTTATTTTATTTTTCACCTAAATCCGGGATTTAAGTATCTGTAGAAGTGTTTAATCCTCTTCAACCTCAAGGCTGTCGATAAACTCACGACGATACTTAAAACCCTTGAAATTAAGAGCTCTTGAAGAACAATTTCATAACTTCCCCAATCGGTGTTTAAACTCTTCCATCGGCTCACGCTTAGACTCCTCAACTAATCATAAACAGCCCCCCCCCCTCTGTATAAACAAACAAAAGGTCAACTTCATAACCTTCAACGTAATCTCCCTCACCTGAGGGTTTTCTAACTGTCCTCACCAGAGCACTAGCCCGTAGGCTCCCATTTAGATCTTATTTTGATGTGAAACTCTTAAGAATGTCGGAGGTGCAGACTGAAGAAACGCTAAGGCATAATCAGTTATTTGACAACTATTAAACTTTTAACTCGCATAATTTCAAATAATTTAAATGATCTTTAATGCACTTTTCAATTCCATACGTTTCTAAGATCTGAAATTGCTAACAGTTACAGCAAATAGCTCAAGGTGATTAAGTATGGGTAGAAGAATGATGTTAAAATGGAGTTTAGTACTTATATTTTCGCTTTATAGAAAACATCGTCAAAAATTTTATGAAAGTCAGACAACTGTAGTGTGTTTAACACAAAGCATCTTGACTTGAATCGATGTAAGGGTAACTCTATACCTTCCAAAGTATAAAGCCTATTATCACCTTTAAGCTATTACAGGAAAAACACAAGATATTAGTGCGAAAGTATACAAAATTTAATTTTAGTAAAGCAGCAGGTGTATGGTCATGACCAGAAAATTCATCCTTTAGATTATGCGCTTATATCAGACAAATTTAAGTACGTTACTAAATTCGATATAGGGAGGAATTAAATGCGTTCCATTACGATGCCTCCATCGATTAATAAGCAATCACTAGGATTATGTAAACAAACTTTAAGCTCATTAAATTTCCTCCTGCCTACTGTAAAAGAGGGAATGTTGATAATTATGTATGCAGTAAGTATAAAAATGGTACTGAATTTATCATTAAATCCATTGACAAGGTAAATTTTAAAATAGGGAGGAATAAATTGTATTTATCATTATTTCCAAAACAAATATGCCTGGAATTGACCATTCCCTTATAATAACAGGTAGAATTGGACAATCTTTTATATCATTATTGACATTAGAACGCTTCATGAATAAAATTTTCTCTAGTAAATTCCAAGCATTGATGTATAACAAGATGCGTAAAGGATTGCCCTAATAAACATAAAAGTAGGGAATAAAATGTACCTCATTTTCAATACTTTTTACTTTGAACAAGGAGTTTATTGGCAACATAAAAGAAAGACAGCAATTTTTCGCTATTAAATGACTGTTAATTGTGAAAGTTTATAATAAATTCATGAACATTCATTTATTTTATAAATTAATAGGATAATGTAGCAAATCCAAATTAAATGTCAGCTTTAATTCGGAATAATTTTAACTGTAGTATCTTTGAGCGAGCAACTTATTTATTTAAATTCATATTTGAAAATAATAGTGCAACTTTATTTGATCAGAAATTTGTACCGCCACAATTGAGATTTCGCGTGACAATGGTAAGGCTGTCTGAAGCTACGCGTTGTTTTATACTTAAATGTGAATAAGGCGTCTAATGGATGCCAGTTTGTCTCATTTTGTTATGACTACTAATCAAAATGTTTACTTGCGTTGATAAGCATTAGTCTCTGCATTTTAGTTTTTTTCAGAGTTCGTTATTTAATCATACCTTCTTTCAATTCTTATGATAGGCAGTCGAAACCCATCCCAAGGCCTTCCCCATGGCCTCAGAAAACCTGACTAATGAGATCATTGAGCTTATCAAGCAAGCTTCTAGCTATTGTCAGCTTAAGAAGGGCGCAAACGAGGTTACAAAAGCTCTTAACCGTGGTCTCGCAGAGTTTGTCGTTTTGGCTGGAGATACTAATCCGCTCGAGATTGTTCTTCATATCCCTCTTTTGTGCGAAGATAAAAACGTTCCTTACATCTTTATTCCTTCCCAACAAGGTTTGTTCTATAACTCATTTTGCCTCTCCTCCATTCGATAAACTTATTTATTGCTTTCTTTTCAGCTTTGGGTTGTGCATGCGGAGTATCAAGGCCAGTTATTGCTGCAGTTGTTACCGACAGTGAAGGCTCACAGTTAAAGACGCTAATAAACGCCGTCCAAATGAAGATTGAAAGGCTATTAATTTGAATTAAATGCATGTTTTTTTTGTACATTAAGCCAATAAAGTGAAATGTTATATGCTCACGTTTTGTCTTATGGTGTACAATCTTGTTATTGATTCTTTTATCTTCAGGAGCTTTTGTAAGTAGTGTTGAATAACTTTCAACCTGAATACTTTAGTCCTAACTTAGTGCTTCCGTGTTTGTATTCGGTTAGGCTATGTTTTCTACCGAATTAAGATCAGAATTTCAAAGCTTTACGTTATAGACAATCTATGGTTTACAACTGGTGGCTACCACCCTTAAAATATAACGGTGGGAGATTAGGCGATCAACCATCTCTTATTTTTTTACTCTTTCCAATGACTTCTCCAGCTCAGCGAAGAAAGGAATAGTTCCACGAATAAAATTCAAGATCTAAATATTGTAGCTGAAAACGACCAATTTAATCGTGCATACCAGCAGAATTTGGTAGCCACGCCTTCAGCGTATCATAACTTCATGTCTGACAAAATGATAAAATTGCATTTTGAGGTTGAAATTAGTGGTATCGAGTTTCAATCAGTACCCTCCACATATGTTCACGCTGGCTATTGATAATCTTTTTTAAACCAGATAATTTTACCTGTTCATTATATTCGTTCTTAGTCTTTGATGATCACAAAATTTTTATCTGAATGAAATAATCGCTCACAGTTTCTTTTTCAATTAAATGAATCATTACTCTTGGTGAGAAGATTGATATCCAAACAAGCAAGTTCTGTTCAGATATCTTACGTATTTAATCTTTACTGAAATATTCGCATTTTCGAATCACTGTTGCTTCTATACCAAATGATAGCATAAGGAAGCTTGTCTAACAGATGTACCGGTTTAAGAACCATAAACTTATCAACAATGCTTCAACTCTTAAAGAAGAATGTGGTAAATAATGGCATTGGTTCATACTAGTAAACGGTGACCCTTAACGAAATATTTTGCTTAATAAGTATTAATATTTCACCAATTGTTAAGAGATCAAATGCGTATGGGAAAGTCAAAAGTAAATATTTTCAATGATCTCTGAATACAGCTACAGCACCAAGGGTTACTTGAAAATATGCTAAGCGACAAATGGTGGACTGCGAGTGCTCGAATGGCATAAGTTAGAGGAGTGTGATCGCCGCCCTTCCGAATGTGCCGGGAGTGCTTGACTGTTACATAGATTGCGAATAGTTCCCTGTCGAGCTACATCGCGATTTCGCTAGCTTAAGCTTCTTCGAGAAGAAGGATAGTGACTGCATTTCACCACTTACCATCTGTTGCAAGACTGCTCCGAATTCTACTTGAGATTCGTCTGTCCTTAAAACGATACGTGTCCCGATAGTGATATCGAGACGATTTAACGTAGTTGCTTTGTACAACTGTTGTTTGATTGCGGAAAGCACAACTGGATATGAGGAATTAGGTAGCGAACCAGAACAGCAGATATTTTTGATCAGTCCTTCTAGGTTTCAAGTTTTTAATTCGTCACAACAACATGGCAAAGTCAGATTACTACAGTCGGAAGACCTCCCCGCCTCTATGAACCTGAATTTTTCATACCGCATAGCTATATTTGCTGTGGAGTTTAATAAAAAATTTAATTGTGTATACAATGTGTCATACCTATCTATGTTACAATCTTTCATAATTAAACATAGCAAAAGTTAAGGTAGTGTACTATAAATTATTATTGTACCCAAAAATAGTCATAAATAATAGGATTCAAAGGATAATTTAAAGGCCTCAAAATTAGTACCTTCAAAAATTGGCCAAGGCAGTAACTTATTCCTTGAACAAATTTAAACAAACGTACAATTCTATAAATAATGAATATTTGTTTTAATCTTTCGATTAACATTGTTAATCGTATTTAAGATGAAATAGGAGCTGCATTGACCGAAAAAATGGAGTAAATTTTTGCTCACTTCTCAGTGTCAGCACTGAGGTAGCTTGGAAGCCAAATCATGTTATTGATTAATAGATTCGTATTGGTATGTAAATGATTATCCCTTTGACACTTGTTATGTGTGGTCGTTAATGCTTCTTTTCTGTGGCTGACATCTAAATTGGTGCTTATGTGCATACACCCTCAGCCGAAACGACTTTGAATATTGGATTTTAGATATTAATGCTCATCTTGTCGCCACATATTGACTGAACCTTGTTTCCATATTAGAATTTTAACGCAAATACAGTGACTATTTAGTAGTATGTGAAAACACAAGAAAATTTTATTATGCAACTTTTAATTTTAAATATAGGCGATAATTAGTTTAATAAAAATAGCTTTGAAATCGTCTGCAGTGTTACTAGTAACAGAGTGCGTATCAATTGAAAGCAAATAATCTGTAGTTGTCTTGACGACCAATTTTTCTTGATGGCAGTTGTGCATGTCCAGCGTCTATCTCAAATTCTAGTTGACCAGATCAGGCTTATTCTGTATGAAAATAGATGCAAGAAAATCACTTCAAAAGAGATTGTTGCATATGTAGAAGACTCTATTAAAAAAGCCCGATTTACATCCTGATAGAAAGCTGAATCTAGTATGTTTTACTCCTAGCAGAAATCGTCCCCTGGTCAGCGCAAATTCACAGAGGATAGTAGCATGGACAATAGATAAAATTGAGCGTAAGTCATCATACGGTTGCAGGCCTCCTAGATTTGTACTCGAAGCCACGTCACGCCTAAGTGAACACGCAACCAAACCAGGGTCAGTCTCTGCGTACCGTCAGATCTGTGATGCTGTAAGCGCAAGACTCGCACATACCCAGTAATTTGAAACTAATTCGTATACTGATGAAGTGCCAACTTAAGCTCATCAAGCTAGGACAAATTTTAATGCCCCTTATCAATTTCCGTCCCAAGGTAAATCAAAAAAGTTTCAGGATGAATGAAGCTCCTCTTCATCAGCACACATTTACCCCTGCTCATACAAACACAACGATGCACACACGATATACATACAATCACGAGGAAATTTTAGGAGCCTTGGAACGCATACACAGAGGAGGTGGGGAACGTAAAAATCGGAAATGTGGAAAAGAATCATAGGTCAAGAGAAATCCAGGGAGTAAGTATAAATGAGGAGATACAAAAAACATAAAGGAAAGAGAATCACCAGAAGAGAAAGAATAAGACACAGGGGAAGGGCAAGCATGAGAGGGATGAACTGTACAGGGAAATTGGGACATCGCAGTGCTTTGGATATCCAGTGAACGAATGAGAGGTTTATTTACCCACTTGTGAAGCGATCCACTCCAGGCCTTGTGTTAACCTGAAATTTAAGAAAACAAGGACAGATATAGAGCCACTGCTTTTGCGAATACGTCAGGAAAAAAACTATGCCCACAAATAAATTCAGACCGCTAATCTGATTAGCGTGAACAAAACGATATAGTAACTGTAACTGCAGCAATAAACAAGATTCTTCAAAGAATGTACGAAAATTATCGAAGCCACACAGAACGTACTCTCAATAGGGCCTCAAAACAGATGCAAACGAGAAAGGTAGGAGTAAGACTGATGTTGTACGTCTGTCGTAGTAGCATAGGTCTTTAGGTTACTGGGGACACTAAAGCCAAAATCTATTATCTGGACTATGATCTAGATAAGGTGAGATGACTTTTATTAGCAACATACTTTTTTAAATAATCCATCTATCACAATAGAAAACTCGCATAAGTCTTATATTAAATGCCTGTAGATGCACATTTCGTAGTGACCAAACGAAGTTCCTTCATCAAGACACACTGTAACTGTAAGTCACCATTACAAGATGATGATGACTTTTAAAGACACTCAAGGAAACAAGAACGAATTAAATTCCTTTTCAAGCCGTTTATAAACATTTTGATATTTACATAATGAAAAGAGACGCGAAAACAGAAAGGCAAACAATTCAAGATTAAAGCAAATAAGTTCAGTCATTTGATTTTACAGGAAAGGGGAGGTGTATAACCGAACCTCAAACACAGACTGAATGCCGATGTTATAAAATAACCTCGTTTGTTGGATTAAAATAATAACTAGCACATTATAAAATATGCAAGTATTAACCATTTGTTTATCATATTTAAGAAATATAGGCAATATGAAAACAGTTAGAGCATTTCATCAAAAAACGACCTTCTCAATAAAAACTACTCCTTAATAAGTACCGTTTAGACCACGCCTTTTATAGGAGCGCTAATTGTAACACAAATAACTTGAACATTCATATGGAGTGTGTACGCACATCTGTTTTATGAATTCCGAGGGGGGGGGGGGGGGGGGGGGNTTCGGAATGAGTTTATTACCCCCCCCCCCTCCCCTCCACTCCCCCTCAAGCGCCGGAATTAAGCAAGACTAACGTGTCTTGCACCAAAGCAATTGCCTCTAACAATGATGACACCGCATCCGATTCAAATAACAGACTGATGACAACAAAAGTCAGTTTTCACAATTCGCAACCAACAACTGTGACTAGAGAATCCTTCAAAGACACTACCGACTATATTCAAATGCATTTTAAAATCCTGTTTTTTTAAATTCCTTCCCTTGAATAATTACTAGATATTTCGTTTAATTTTATCAATTGTAGCATACCTTAAAGAAGACCAAATCGCGTTAATAGTCCTCAGAAGAGAAGGGCTAGGGTTATACCATACTAAAATGATTATGTACGTAACCAATCTCGTTAGTCTCACAGGGCAACAACAAATTATTGGAATTCAGTAAAAGTCCACTTAGCTATTACGCAACTAAATCTAAATCGTGCATTGGCAACCCGAAATTGAAAAGTGAAAGGAATAAAAATTGGCTATATACACTGCAGCAAAAAAACAGATGAACTAGCACTAAGGACATTAAGTTCAAGCGTAAATATTTTCAAAGTTTCGAACATACGCAAAAAATTAGATGTCGGCATCAAATTGTAACACACCAGAACATCACAAACATAAATCATTGACTAACAAGGTGGTTCATTCGGCTAGAATTTACGTACCAGGGAGCACACGTTGTTCACCAAACCTAACGATTTCACAATGCTTAAATTAAACAGCCTACTATTTTTAAACAAACAGTAGATTACTTAATTCACTACAAAATGTGAGGGCTCATTAGCAAATTCTTTCTGCAAACGTGTAGAGGCTAAAATATCTCCTGACGTTTCTGTCGATAAACTTCAAAATACAGAGGTTAGGAAGTCAACACTATACATCAGGCCATGTAATGTCATGATTGGTCATGTTTCTTCGATTCATTACCACCTTGTTACAACCATGAGCTTGGAAAGTTTTTCTTCATTTATGCTTTCTCCAGGACGATGGTGATACTATAGGTAAAACAGTGAATAGGCCACGTGACAGCGGAAACACTTCCTAAGGCGGATACGCCTTCCGCCTTTTTAACACAAATTAAATACTCCAGAACCGACACCGATTTCAAATAGCCCACATTAGCTGTTTAGCTTTTTTGCAAAAAAGGATGTGAGAAATCACACACCACACAACGTGACATGTTGTGTATTGTGCTTAGTCAAGTGTATTGGTCATGAAGAAGCATGACAAAAGTGAAGTCAGAAAAAGCCACGTAGCAAATTTTAAATTCGATTTCAACTCCCACACAAATCGGAAAAAGCCATCAAAAGAGGTAGTTGTAATTCACAAAATAACGAATACCCCCATAAGAGATCATGAAAGGGCGGTTGAAATCAAACTAAAGTTTCAGTAGCACGTTTGACAACAGACATTGGAATTTACAAAAGGCTTAATATGACAAGCAAATTAACGACCCTTATATCTCGCGAAAATGTCAAGTATCCACCAAACAATTCCAGTATTGATGAAGAGTGAAAATGAAAAAAAAGTCATACAATACGGTAACTTTTGAGACCAGACAAAGGTAAAATTACGGATCAATAACTTTGAACCCTGAAAATGAATGCACATCTGATCACGGAGAGCAAGACCGATATAAACCACTTCTTATCGTATGATAAATTTTATGCACATAACAATAAAATAAGGAAACATTAACGACAGTAGAACTATTGTCTGTCATTTTAAAACCATGTACTTTGGTAAAGCTACGTAAAATAACGTTACATCTTTACCGAACAATCGACACTGAGATTAATCACTTCTCAAAAATATTATCACTTTTCCGATAGTGATTATGTACAAGCAAATAATATGGATTAAACTCATTGTTATGACAAATTTCGAGATTTGTCAGGATGACAGGCAGCAAAAAAGGTGATGATCTGATAGATCATTAAAAGAAATTGTTGAAAATCTAATAGACCAATAAATTTATGACTGATTTATGATCTGACTAGATTAATGTAAGTCCAATGCGTTTTCAAGCAGTCAATACTGCGATTAAGCAGCTCAGTGGTCAATTTGGATCTTAAAAGTAAAAACCTCAGTTTATGGCAACAGGTGACCTTTTGGAAGAGATGGAAAAGGCACAACAACCAAACCCAATGCGTTTTCCTACTACCAAGCAAAGCAAGAACGATAAAAAGTGATCAAATTGAAAGAAACTCTGCGTTAATGAAAAACAATTAACATGTCATTAAGTGCTAGCGAAAGGCCCTATAATAAAACGAGTCACTCTTAAGACTTTAATATTATATTGCCCTGATGAAATTATCAGACGCAAACTTCAGGAATGACATCGTAAAATAGCCTACCTACTTGATACAATAGAAATTATTTGAGACCTTCTCCTTTAACAGGGACTTCGAATGACATGAAAACAGCCGCGAGAGAATAAAACTATAAAGGCAGAGTTCCGATTAAACTTTGAAACTAAAACTTCACATTGCAAAATGCTTCATTACAATGCATACTTGGAGTATCAACTTTACCAGATTTGCGAAAAAACAGAACTGTGACAGTAATGGTCTCAGAATAGATTACTTTCAAAATTACATAAATGGGATTTGGTGATCGCGACTGGCAATTGTTTTCTCGAGCAATTCAATCCGAAATTTACGCAGACAATAAATACAATTACTAGTTAGGTTATAGACACTTGGAAACGACTTCCTTTAAGATGAATTATGCGATAAAAATGACGGACAAAGAGGTTGATATCTTTTTGGGCCCACTACTAATAATTCTAGTTTGAATGAAACAATAAAACCCTGGGCCAGATAATCAAGGCAAGTAGTTAAACCAATAACAAGAAAGTTTCACACTGAATACTCCAAATCGTTGGCAAATAAGAGCGTTTTTAAATTGACAATGCTACAAAAACGACTATAAAGGCAGAAAAGTTGCAAGATGAAAAGTCTTAAATAAAAAATAAAACCCCTTCAATAGGATTTAGCCCATAAATTAACTTGAACTCACCCTTCACCAGTAAGAGCGCAACAAGCTTGAATATGCCAGGGATGATTTTTGATTGAAGTGAGGTTAAGTTTATGTCCAACCTCTGCGACTGACATACACCCAATAACGTCTTGCTTGTTTGCAAAGATAAGAATCTTCGCCTTTCGCAAATCCTCTGCCGCAAGAATATTGTAAAGTTCTGTTTTGGAAAGAGGTAGGCGTTCTCTGTCAGTGGAATCAATAACGAGAATGACAAATTCAGAACCGGCATAGTAAGTGGACCAAGTTTGCCGGAGGGACTCCTGCCCACCGAGGTCCCACATGACTAGATGAAGATTGCGCCATTTAAATTCCTCAACATTACTTCCTATAGTGGGTGAAGTTTGTACTGTTTCGTTCAAGACAAACTGGTAGAGGATGGTCGACTTGCCAGCATTATCCAGGCCCACCAAAACTATCTTGGTGCCTTCCGGACGAAAAAAGCTCCAAATCCGAGATAGTAATACGCCCATGAAGGGGCGTTACAAAATGCCGTTGTCTAAACAAAAAAAAATTGAAAAAAGGAAAAATTACAATACAGAAAACAAATCTAATAATTGAAAATATCAAACCAAATATTATTGCCTTACAATAAGTGAAATTGAGAAGAGAGCGTCCAACAAAGACGGCCCCTCCTAATTCGAAGTACGCACAAAAAGAGAATGGGTTAGATGTTCTTCGAGCATTTCTCATATATTAATAAATAAAATTTTTTATCGTATCTGTTTATTTGGGTAATTTAAAATTTTATTTAAAACCTAACACGCTTTGATAAATTGAAAGTTCATTCAAATTTAGGCAGATACTTTAAAATGAATGCATGAAGTATCAACAATTATTTATATATTTTTGCGTATCTGCGTTTTTTTAATGAAATTACTTTAGAATAGTGTAATATTCGGTGGGACCAGGGCTAATTTACTTGTGTACTTTAAGTATTAACTATAATTGTTTATAATATACATAAGAACCAAAACCTTAAAAAATTTTCTGATATTGTGTGTTCCTTATTTCATTATGCTATTATATAACGCTGTAAAATTGCATATGTTATAAATCTTAAATGCTTTATGACGTGGCAATAATTTTTGTTCGAATAAATAATATTTTGTTTTTAATAATTTGTCATTAATTTTATTTATTCGATCGCTTTGCTACCCATGAATGTTAATGCTAATCAACTATCTAACATTATCATATATGCTTCTTCATACATGCTAACCTCTGGCAAATTAAATATTTAATTAGACTTTGAACTCGACTTAGATATCCTTTATTAATTTTCCTACATTACAATGCTCACATTTCCATCACATCTTCTAAACTCATTTTAAAAATTTGACAGTGCTTTTTGGATGTACAAATATGGGTATAACTTGTTATTGATTACTATCTTTGAAATATACCCAAAATATTCTACGTTAATAACAATGACAAACCCCTTTAGTGAAAGCGTTAATTGTAACTTTCTGAACAAATTATTTTAAAACTTCCACACTAGCGCATCTATTTCCCCACCATTCTCCCATATAATATCAGATCACTTTCTTAAATATGCCCAAATTTCCTTTTAACACTTTGCACTGACCTTTTATTTATGTACCTGATGAAACTCTGTCTGCAACCTATTATTTTTTAATTCGTTCAACAAAATTAGAAAATAAAGATGAATAAGTTAGCGGGCATTTCGATTTATGATTTAGCCCATTTGGTTAGATCGTCTTGGTGATGCTTTAGACCAAAGTCTGCGGGCTCGTTTTTGGGGAAAGTGTTTCATTCATCACTTGTCATAGCAGGACGAACAGCACCAAGGAACCTCCTAATTTGGAACTAGAATTGTGTCAACGCTCTTTATTAGAGAGTGTAGTTGAGAATCCCACTTGGTGGGGTGTACCAGTTTCGTTGTGCCACCTGATTTACCTTAACACCCTGAGTAAACTGTTGATAATGAACACCTTCAAAGCCAAGGTCACTTCGAGGGATGATTTAATAGAAATTACAGCTCATCAAATGGAGGCAAATTTAAAATATTGGCGAAGCGCCAACTAAAAAGAAATGAAAGTGGATTTGATAGTTCATCAAGGAAATTCCACTATTTCCCAACTTCAAAGTGTTGCCTACTAATACGAAAGCGAACATGCCGGAGCAAACGAATCTAAAAGGCACTGGAAGTGATTCAAGTGAGATCAATGTCGTGAATAAAGCAATCTGTTTTATTTGTCAAGTTGACCAGGTAACAGAAAAATGAAAGTACTGAATGGCAAAAGCATTAGCGAATCGTAAAAGATGACGGAGAAATATACAACTTCGAAACACTTTGGTGAGGCTTCACAAACTAACTCATCGACAGAAACTTAATGACTTTGTAAGAAGTGAGGAGGTAATGCGAAATCGTTCTGTTTCCATGAGTGTCTTCTCTCCTCTGAGAAACTTTTGTTCATCACTGGTGACCCTTTACAATTGCAAATCTGGTGACTCTGTTCTCATTAATTTTGTGATTCCATGTGCGTTCAATTCTCTCCATACCAACAGCTAGTGACAGCACAAGTCACTCCACAAGGAATTTAAAAATCTCACCTTACATTATTCATTCAATGTTCTCTATTATTGAGAAAAAGTTTTGTTATCGAACATAAAAACGATTTTGCAATATTTTAAAATCCAAATGATGCAATTTATGCCGACCTTAAATTTGAAATCCTTTTTGAACTAATTTCTAACCAGTAAGATTAGCAATAATTGGCGTATTGCCAATTAAACAAATAATTTTATGCTATTTGCTTCAGAATTGACATAGTTAGTGAGCTCTAAAGTGAGCCGACAGAATCCTATCCTATTACCAGGCACCCAATGAAACAAGATCGTCACATGAAAGGACCGTAAGGGAGAGTGAGAGCGGAAGAGGGAGATTCGCTTGGCGTCCACTTTATAAAAAGCGTTGATGAAGTGTTAGTGAAGTGGAACTTCCTCTTCTGAGCAAGCTAACTTGGCAACAGAAATCCATTGAGGTCTCAGTTGGTATGCGCACCAATGGCATAGCATTTTTGAATTGAAGCATGGTGTGGAGCAAAGAAGGCAGAACATGACTTCAAAATTGTCTTTCTCATTTTAATGCATGCCAGTTGCTGACGACTTTTAGATGAACAAGACTCAGTGCACAAATCCAGTGTCATTGACATTATAATTGGTAATAGCATAGTGGTAAATTATATATATGTATATATATTCATTGAGAGGGAGAAATAAATTCGAAATTGCTGTTGATTGGTATGCACTTTATGTTAAGTTATTGAACATGTTTATATGCTGAAACCTGCTAAACCGAAGCATGAACGAATTTAATTGATCAAAGTTTATTGTAAAATGCTATTTAATCAACTGAGGGTAGACATGTCGGTGCTTCACTAACAGTCGGTTACCTCTTGGACTCATTAAAAAGTCGATGTTATTTGACTATTAGTTTCTTTGGCTCACTAGGTTAGTCGAAATAAATCGAGAACTATGAAAGGACCTCGTAATACTTTCTCTCTCCATCTGTTCGAAAAGACTTCGGAAGTAACAAACAACTCTGTCTGTCAGATAAGCACATTGTGCTCATTAGCAATATTGTTTGTGAGTGCAGTGGGTAGATTTCTACTACATTGAAATGTTGCACTGAAGAAGCATTGAGCTCAAGTGCTGTAAATGAACGAATAGTAAATTGCAAGATAAATTAAGAAGTTAGAGAAAGACTATTCCCACTGGGATTTGGTTTAAGTCACTCTTGCGTGCTACAGTTATTAACATTTAATCGTAAATCTAGATCAGTAAAAGAAGTGCCCATGGAAAACAGATTTTATCAGTTCAGAATGAATGAATTCCCAAATTTCCACGTGACTTTGAAAATATTCACCCTACTAAAATATTCAAGGTTCTTAAATGAATGTGCTCAAAGTTAATATAAATTTGAATCACAATTTTATTATTGCCCTAAAACACAGATTAATTTCATTAACTGCATTTCACAAATTACGCCCAAGTGCACTCCAAATTGCAATCCATGAACAGCATCGAAACTTTCGGAAAGGTGTGAGAAATTTTAATCTCTTGGACCAAATGGCAATTCTAAAAATAAATATGCTATTTGTTTTAATAAAACCACCTAATACGTTTTGCAAGTATGAGGAGAAAGTGTTGAAATGCTGCACCAGTATTATGATCGAACCAAATTTTGAGGTATTTATTTAAACATATTTGGGAAGTGCGATAGACTTACCTCCACGTGGTGCACCCTGGGCAACGTATACTCATATGGCAAAAAAGTCTATTAATCGGCAGTTGACTTCGGACTTCAGACTACCATGACCCCATTGCATTTCATATTCGAATAATTCCACAGTATTCACCTCACCTTTTTTCTACCTTTGTGTCTGTCTGTCTCTTTTACGTCTGTGAATCATTATTCTGTCCCCCTCTCGACTTTTTACCACGTGGATGTTCATCTTCCTTTCTGTGAAGCCCGAAGTCAACTAAATGGCTAATGATACCTAGCATAACGCCTGCCATTTGAAATAAATAAATAAATTTTGACATATTTAAAGTAATAATAGATATAAACAATTTGAAAGGAAACTAAATTCACTCACGTATATATTTTAGTCTTGATTAAAATCATTGATAACACTTCACGAACGAACCTCGAACTTGTTGGATTAAATGCCAAACAATCAATAGGTGGTAATCGTTACAACAACGTTGCCTATTTCAACTCCTTTCTCAGGGACTGTGCATTAAACAAGTAGACTAACGAGACAGTCGGTGGTTTGTTATAAGTGTCCCAAGTGTTCTGGGCTGACAAATCAAGGCATTTGATCTGATATTTGATAGTGCTGTTATTTGAAAGCTTACGTGCAGTTTAGAAAGATTAGCTTGGCTGAAGAATTTGGCCACTTTCCACAAAGTCAATTTCCTTTCCTAAGAAGGCATTTTAGATTTAAATGAAGACAACATGGCAAATTTAATAGTGTTACTTTCTAAACGCTACTTGATTTCTTACTCAATCAATTTGAAGACAGATTCATCAGCCGCCAATGCTTACTTGTAACATAGTTATGGTTGTAACTCTTAGATTTAAACCATGTGAGGAAGATCCTCAGAGTGTTAATCGACTAATCAGTCTTAATGACATGATAATTTTCAAGACGATTTAAGAAATCGCGGTAAAAGAGTCACAATTTGAAGAGAATCCAAAAATTTGAATTTTTGATCCGAAAAGTTGAAGTTAGCTACTTTCTGAGTTGTTAACCAAATTCATTGTTTTAATTACTTCAAACTGGTTTCAAGCGCGTAGCCTTTAATTTTTCGGAACACAAGCTTCGTTAAACAGCGATACACTGACATACATATCAGTCAAAGGAATCTTCCGAATCGACTTGTCAGATATGCAGCAAGTCTTTGGGAGATAAAGTTTGTTTGGACCAATTATTTAGCCAAA